TATTCTAAATAATTTTTACAGCAATGAATGTTTTTCAAATTTTATATTTTTAAAACAAGTACTGAGGATCCAAGAGTCAATTCGTTAGTAATATGTTTAACGGAAATTAAAGCATTTGCACTATTTTTTAAATTTGTGACCGAACTTCAGTTTTTTGATTTGGGGTTACTTTGATGATGCTCGATGAATGTAGAAAAAATGGGTGAAACTCAAACAATTTAGTTCTTTAAATTTGAAACTTCGAATGAGTATATAATCAGAAAACATCATAAACAATAAGAATACAAGATTGAATTTGTGATGGCTATATCGGAAACACATTTCATAAGTGATGGTTTGAGTGCGAAAAACACGAAAATTGTTTTTAATATGTTTGTAAAAAATGTAACACATACTGAATAAAAACTATATAAGATATCAACGGAAATACCCTAAGCTACAATATGAAACCAATGTTCCTAGTTTGGAAAAAGCGCAGCGGGTAAATTTAATCTTTACATTATACTATCAAAGTTACCCGCATTATCAAAGATACCCCGTTTTACGGTACCAAAGAAATTATTTTTATATTTTAAGAATTTCATAGAGAAAAATGGACACCAAATTGTGCCAATTCTTGGGAATTATTATCAGTTTGAGGGAATTGTGGAATTAAAGAGCGATTTATAAGAGATTACAAGAGGTAATGCTAAGAACTCTTAGAATGTTACTGGAAAAGTTTGGATATTATCAAGATTATTTTAGGGGAATATAAGAAAGAAGCATGACGGAATTCAGGGTTGATTCAAATGAAACTAAAAAAAGGGCGAACATATCCTGTGAAGAGTTCCAAGTAAAATCAGACTAACAAAAAAAAATATGATCTGGGACCCAGGAAAAATATAAATTCCGGAATTTAGAATCATTTCAAGATCCTGAGACTTCAAAAATGAAGCTGTCAGACTTCATTTTAGTAATATAATAAAATTATTCGTAATGGTCATGCGAATAGTGGAGTTACTCGTAGTTTAGATAAGCTGTGTGTGAGTACCACGATGTTAGACTTTGATTCCCACTTCAAGCAGGTGAATTGTGCTTCTAAGTAAAATTGTCTACTGGTCTACTGGGTGTTGTGTGTTGTATGATGTCAAGAATTAATTTGTAATCTGATCGCCCTCAGGGCAATATAAGAATTATTTAGAACTAATAAAATCTTTAAATTCTGGTACTGCATCAAATAGTAAGGACTACATCGATTATTATTTGTTAAAACAATATATCCCATCAAATTTGCTTGATTATTTGCTTCTCACTCGTTTTAAAAAAGTTACAGTTTAAAAAATCAATTCTAAAAATATTTTCTGCAGTATTTTACCCACATTTGACTCAATTTTTGAAATGCTGCGTGATGGATATTTAAACTTTTTGGGCACACTGTGTCAATACTTTTCAACTTTTGGATGATTTCATGTAACATGTTAAACATGTAATTCATAACCATTCTAATACCTTAAATAAATTCCAGATGATCATACTGACCGATTTTTACGGAGATTGGCAAATCACTTTGATTTCAATAGCATTATGTTAAAAACTGGATTTTTTAAGCATTCCAGATTTTTCCAGATTTTATATTTTAACCAGGGCTGTCATCTGATCACTCAACGTGCGCAATGTACTGATTTTCTGAAATAAACAAAGTGAAAATCAAGCAAACACAAAGTTTACTTGTCTTTCACCCTGCGCAAATGTAAAGCAGCGGAGAAGAGAAGACAGACACACACCCAGAAATAACGAAAGCTCAATGTGTAGCCATCGCATCGCTCTGACATCTCTGACGCAAAGAGCGCCTCTCAGTGTAGGGTTGCAAATGGGAAACCTAGCAAAAAGACAAAATTATTCTTCGTTATGCTCATCTTCATCTCCAAAGCATGCAGCCGTGGTGAGCAAAGTCTGCAAAGAATTCAAAGAAGACATAAGCGCTTGTTGTATTATATTCGCTCCCTGCGCCGCACGGAGTGTACCGCTCATTGTGTGGATCGCTTTCTCGTAGATTATGTGGAAAAGAGTGTGCGAAGTAGATGAGAGAACCACACACTCTTTGTCGAGAGTTGTGAGATGCATGCACAAAGTTGCTTTGCCAACGCTCTGAGGTGCTTTCCAGCCCTGATTTTAACTGTTCCAGATTTTTTTCTGAAAGTGACCTGGCAACGCTTACCAGGGCCCACGTGACTTCTATGAGATATCAGAAAACATTCGTGACGCCCTCTTCAACGACCACACCAGGATAGCGGTCCTCACTGGTTTTCTTCTCGAAGCCGGACTCGACAACCAAGTTAAAACCTACCAAGAAAACCCGGACCAATCAAATTGGAACCACGAATCACAACCTCCAACTTAGACAATAACTACCGCCTATCCATGGAACATGATACAGAAATAGAAAAACCACCATATGACCTGAAATGAGGACTAACGCAACTATAATGGAACCGACTTTTCTTTAACCTTCAGATAATCGGCAGCACCGACATAAAGAAACTCCGTTGAAACTTATTCTGTACTAAGAGGGTCTCTCCTCTGGAACCTCACCTTTTTCCGGAGAACCCCTTCTGGGAACTCCTAATACCAAACTTCATTTCCGCTAACTCTGTAACTCAGGGGGAATCCTTTTGGATCCCCCAAACTCCTTACCCGAACCAGCCAAAGGCTGAAAGCCTCTTTAATAAGTTAAGTTTTGCAACTTAAAAATAAATGAATGTTATTAAACAAATTCTTAGAAACCCAAAATTACCATGAAAACCAGAATCATAAGCTTTAAAATCACATGTGATGACTAAAAGTATTGTTCAACCATTTGAATACTAAACATTATACAGATGAGGAGATGCTCTAAAGGAACAAAATCTAGGAAAAGGCTAAAAAAAACTGCGTATATCAGCATAAAAAATTACGATATTCATAGTTGAAGATGCTAACTTTCAAATAACAGACTAAAGTGGTAATTGGAGATGAAAGTATAGAGTTTGATAGTTCCGTTAGAGTACGGCAGTGTGAAAATTGTATATAGAGAGTAGAAAGCGAGCAAGGACAACTTTTTAGGAAGGTACAAACAAATCGGTTTTGATCAGATGGACACTCTTTACCAAACTCCCCCGTTGAGGGGATCCCCCCCGCCACCACTGGTAAAAAGAGATGATCAACGACTCGCTCATGTACCGACGATGTGTTTGAAACAGTTCTATCGATTTTTACCGCGCTCAAGTTGTTATGTGAAAGAAGGCATCCAGTCGTAGGTTTGGATGCTGGATGCCTTCCTTCAGATAACAACTTGAGTGCGGTAAAAATCGATAGAACTGTTTCAAACACATCGTCGGTAGATGAGCGAGTCGTCGAAATACCCCTGACCATCCCTCTCCAACGGGGGAGTTTGGTAAAAAGAGATGATCAAACCGATTTTGTACCTTCCAAAAAAGTTGTCCTTGCTCGCTTTCTAATTTCTATATCAAGCTGAACGTTGCATTAGGTCCTAAGTAACATTGATCGATTCTCTTCGTCGACTTTCTCTTTCGTTAATTATTAACATGAGCAGGCATGGAAAATCATTTGCATTCATTTCATACATTCATTTACATTCATTTGACTCTTACTTTTTTCATCAACAGCATTCCGTAAAATGATGTATTGAGGTTGTAGGTTGTGTTATTAGCTACAACTTTTGCTCATAACTCAAATCTGTATCTCTTATGCATCACGATCTAGAGCGGGCAGAACTTGTTACTGTTTTTCAGTTAATGTAAAATACATTCTCTGAAAAACAGTAGTGGCTTCTGTTCGCTCTGCTTCGTCATGCATAAGAGATACGGATTTGACTTGTTTAAAAAAGTTGTAGCTGATAACAAAACCTACAAAAGCTCTATACATCATTTTGCGAAATGCTGTTTATGAAAAAAGTTAGAGGCAAATGAATGTAAATGAATGCACGAAATGCATGCAAATGATTTTCCATGCCTGAACATGAGCACATAACCGTTTCTTGTTGTGTTTGTCATATTAGATGCTAGATGAAAGCTTCTTTTATCGATCTGTGTGTTGAAAATATCTGGGAATGTCTTTACATGGCTGTGGGGATACAAAGAGCAAGTCAACGAGGAGAATCTGTCAATGTTACTTATTACCTTGCAATGTTCAGCTTGATATACAATTTTCACACCACCGTACTCTAACGGAACTATCAACTCTATACTTTCATCTCCTCATCTATGAGCTTGAGCTTGGATGACTGTACATTTCAGTAGTTGCTACTCCGTGATTGACAAGAACCAGCGAAATTGCACATAGATCCAAACGAATGGGGCCTGGGATGAGCTATCCATTCTCTATGTACACGTTTCGAAGGTTCAATACTTTATATGGTCAATAACGGCGCCGGCCACGTCCTTACGGTCATCGGGGGAAGGGAAGGATTGTTAGTTTGACAACCGTTGTTACTAGAGACCGAATACACCTCTGCATCTCCACGGTTGTCACAGGAGGGACGTTTTGTTAGTAGGGAGGATAAATGAGATCTGGAATCACTTTGGAAAGTGACGCGATCTTTTAAAGCCTGACAATGAAATTATGCAATCCTACGAGCTCAATTGTGTAAGGGCTTGGGATTAAACCCATGATTTTCTGCCCAGTACGCAAAAACGGCTACCATTAGGCCACCGAGCCCACTTTTATCACATAAGACTAATACGACCGACAAAAAAAAACACATATAAACAAATGGCTCTCCTCATCTATGGTATAAAAATTACCACTTTAGTCTGCTATTTGAAAATTAGCATCTTCAACTATGTAAATCGTTGACTTCACGCAGAAGTAATACAAAACATATAGTCAAAGTATGATATTCAGTTAAAAAAATAAGTTTACCTTCTCATATTTGTTTGGACATTTAGAAAAGAGCGGGGAGACGAAAGATTTTTTTTTCAGGCCTAAGTGTCCAATCGAACTAATCGAATTATCTTTCGCAGGTCGTCCCGGAACGGACTACCCCATCCTGGCCGCCGTACCGTACACCAATTTCTACTGCGACGAGCAACAATATCCGGGCTTTTTCGCTGACATGGAAACCAGATGTCAAGGTAACGCGTATTCAACATCCTTTAGCAGCGTTCAATAAGTTCACCAATTTTACGCTTATTTTAGGTTGGCACTACTGCGACATCGATGGCCGGCAAGCCACATTCCTCTGCCCAAATGGAACCCAGTTTTCCCAGGCCGTGTTCGTGTGCGATTGGTGGTTCAACGTCCGCTGTGACCTGTCGCCACGGTTATATGCCATCAACGCTCGGCTGTACCAGCGCCCGAAGGTGAACCCAACGCGGAAACATCGAGTCATAACGAAGCAGCTGGTTGAGGATATCTTCAACAAATAAAGGCGACACATTTCCAGGATCCAGATCCCAGATCAGTTCCTCTTGGTGGAGAAGAGCGAAAACGGGAAGAATGAGTTTCTTTTTTTTTTCTTTGGGGATGAATGCGATGCGAGATGCGAGTGAATGAGCGTTTGTCAAGGGAAGATTCTAACTTTTGTACTCGTGTTCAGCGCTCAACCTGAGCCGCCCAACGTGTACCGGGGATCAGTATGGGAAGGGAGGAACCATTTCATGAAAAACTGTTTTTAAATTAAATATTTTAAATCCCCGTCCAACCGAGCAAGCCTCGATGTGTAGCAATCCAAGTTTTAAGTTGGAATCACTTTCTCGTAGAATGCAAAGTTTGTCTTTTTCCCTTCTCATCTCCTGTGCTTCCTTTGATTGGCCTGGAATTTCACGTGCAACAGAAGGGACCAGGGAGCGAGAATTGAAATTTAAATTAAATCAAAGCAAACAGAAATATTTCACCATACACGATGATACAGTTGCCTCAACCACTTGCTCTCGATAGGAAACTGTAAATGAAACTAATTTTCCTCGCAACTGAGCCACCGGTAAGTACGTTAGATTTGAAACTTGGGGAATGTTAAAGGAGAAACCTGCTCGCTTGGCTTGCTGGGCGTAGGATATGAAACTTTTTCGCCCGGGAAAGGGAGGAATAGTTTTTAAATTTTAATTCTCGTTTTCTCGGAATGTAAATAGCGAATGTTTGCAGCCTCTCATCGTAACTTCTTCAGAATAAAAATTGTGAATAAGCAAATGTGTAATTTAAGTTTGTATGTTTTTTTTGTTTGTGTTTGTTCACCTTTTATCTTGCAATGTTAACAAAATACTCAACAAAAGTAGAGAAACTATAGAACTTTGAACTGTAAAACTGTACAAAAAATAAATAACGAAGCCGAGAGTGGCAGACACAGGTTTAAAAACTACGTAGTGAGAACAATAATCAATAGTCCCAGAAAGACCGAATACTTGTGAGAGTGAGATTCTTGCTTCGTAATAATAGTTAGGTGTGTAAATCTAATGTAAACAGTTGTACTATAAACCATCTAATAAATTTTATTAATTAAGGACAAAAAATAGCAAATCATTCATCCGAACTGAATTCCGAGCGTAGTTTCTACAAAATTTAGAGGAAAACTTCTAAGGAATTCTGAGGAGTATTGAAGGGATAATTTTTAGAAAATTCAAAAGAGAGTTCCAATTCCAACTCCAAGAATTTTTATGGTAATTTCATAATAATACTAAGTGTATGTTGAGGAGAACTCCTATTGATTTTATTCAAGAGTTTTTCGGGGAATTAGAATTATCACAAATATGAAGAGCATTGCAAAGTAATTCAGGGAAGTTCTGCAGAAGATTTTCAAGAGTATTGTCAACAATCAATACGAAACTAACGATTTGAAATTGACTCATTACTTGACTAGCCCATTGGTTTCAAGTACATCTAAAAGCGTACCCTAATAGACCCCCCTCAACAGTGCTCAAACGGTTCCAAATTGGGTCCTGAGTATCCTCCCAAAATTTGAACTCCTTTAGTAAGAACCTGACTTGGCACAAACCATTTGAAGTTTATATGGAAATTACTATGGGGAAACCATAATTTCGGTTCATATCAATCTCATAATTCACCAGTTCAGTCTACTTTTGAAAATGATAGCTGAGCTTGTTGAAAATTTTCTCAGCTACAACTATGTTGAAGACCAATTTTCGATCAAATGTAAGGAACAAAAATTACTAATGATTCAAGTCACTGATGTCTTATGATTATGCTCAATCAACTGCTCAGCAGGCAACATTGGTGTTTATGGGGCGTAGGATACTTAGACGACAAAAATCATGGCCACTATGCCATACTGCAGAATACAGTATTGCCCGCAATACAGTTGCTTAATCTTGCCATAAGATTATCAATCTCTTAAACAATTAATAACTATTTAATTTGAAGTTTGGCTGAAAAACGATTTTCTGCAAAGTTGTAGCTGATAAGAATTCCCATAAGAATAGCATTAGAACTTGTTAACAGTATAATATGGAAAAAGGCTAGAAGACAATGAACAAACAGTTTGGTTTTCCCATAGTAATTTCAATATAAACTTCAAATGGTTTGTGCCAAGCCAGTTTCATATCAAATCAGTTTAAACTTTCGGAGGCTAATCAGGACCCGATTTGAAACCGTTTGAACACTGTGGAGCGAAAATTTCAAATTTTGCATCAGTCTAGTACCCTATTCTCGTACTAGAATCTGTCAAAGTTTTTGCTTATTTTGATTAGCTTTATATATTGACAGAGTTTAATGAGGGATTCGTGAATTTTATTATTATTCGAGGGTTACTTCAATTAGCTTGGGACTGAGCCAACAGATTGAGCATGCTTCTTCAGGACCTTAGTGTTAGTCTATGGTATTATAGAGGGGATTATAATAGAATCAATTTTGGTCATAAAAATGTAATGATCCTGAACATAGAAAACGGATCCAGATTGGAAAAAAAATTAAATTCTGATGCTTAGATTTGATGCTTTGAAAACTATATGATCCTGTATTTAGACTAATCTGAGAGAGTGATTAGTGAGACAATTTTCAAAACTAGCAAACATATTTGAAATGCCGAACTTTGAAATTAAACATGGAAATTATCCGAGAAATTCAGGAAAAACTCGAAAAACTCTGGAAATTTTATTTAGCAAAATGAGTAGACGCCCTGCATAAGAACAAGTCTAAATGTTACCGTAAGCCGGCAGTAAATGGGGTGAAATTTCTGATAATAAGTTCGTAGGGGAAAAATCTACTTCGAGCAAAAAACATCAAATACATCTATGATTTCGGCGTGAACGTGTCAAACAAATGTTTGGTATGATGCTTCTATCCAATAGCTGCAAGACGAAGTGTTGAAGAACGCAAAATAACTTCTCGAAAACAAATGGCACACTTGAAGTCTACAAAAGGCGCACGCGAATTCACTTTTCTTTCCGTTCGATAGGCCAACGAGAATCCCAATGTCGTTTCAATGGCTAATAGGCCCAAGAAAACCCGTAGGCAAAGTTGAGCCGCCAGAAGCAGTTTTGCAATTTTTAACAATAAACTAATATTTCATGACCCCTTATCATAACTAAAAAGGTAAATAAATTTGGAAGCCATCTGTAATAATGAAATTCAGTTTGGTGCTAAACTACGCTAGATTAAGAAAGACTTAGTGCGGGTTGTGCTTAAACGCCGGAAATAGGGTAGTTAACGCTATTACAATTATTATTAAGGCATCGTTTACCAACATTTCTCAATAAGTTTGTTTTAAAGTAATTGATAATTCTACGTTAATCTGAGCGTTTTTTTGTTCCCACATTTATGGCAGATAATTAACATATTTTTCAAACATATAAATGATATTTATGAGCTGTAATCACATTAATTCACATTCTGCAGACATACTGTAATTCAAAGGGATAATAAAATAGCTGCAAGTCCCAAAGCAGTATTTTCAAATTTTGGAACAATAATTATTTAAAATAAAACATAGGGGAAATTGATGTAATGTCGGCCTTAATGCCTCTAATTTGGACCCATACATAAATTTAGCAATCGACTATATCTACAGTATTGACCAAAAATATCCATTAGTACCGTCCCAATGACGCGTTCATTTAGATAAAATTGATGATAAATTGAATAATTTAACAAGTCAATCTCCTAGGTTTTGTACTGGACTACACTAGTACTGGTTTAAACAATAAATGTATTGAAAATAAACTACAAGCGAACAAAATATTCACAAATAATGATCAATTTACCCCCGGTTTACGATACTTCAATTTCATTACAAAAAATTCACAAGAGAAGATGACGGACCCCGAAAATTTTAAATTATATTAGTAGATAAACAACAGAGATACATAATTAATATTTACAGCAAGATTTGAGATGGTTCCATTGTTCTAAAACTTACTGATTTGTTACATGTTCTCAACATCAGTTAGGTTAGCTTTGACATAAAGTTATGTTAACTGTCATACTACCAAACCTGCAAAATACGTGTCGATGCTGTGACATAGCACGCCTGTCCCGTTGCCGTGAAGCGAGCTTGATCGTCGTTGCAGATTTAATTTGAAATATTGAATTTCAATTCAATACTGCATACTAAATTTGATCCGCGAAATCCACGATTTCTCAAAAGAAATCAGCGACTTCAAATACTAATCCTCGACAAAAAAAAACTGTTTTCATTGCCCAAAAATACCATTTGTAATACTACTAACATGGCATTTCAAGCTTCTTGCTTATAGCATATTAGATTTTTGCCTGCTCTCAACTTAGTGTTCTTTGAAGTACCTAAGTATTGAAAAATGTCCAATCAGATTCAAAGTGTCTATGTGGATCATGCATGATCTATTTCCGAGTAATCCAGATGTTGTAGGTGCTCCAAATCGTCCTGGGGTTCAGATGATTTATTCTACTAGATCAACCATGACTGGGATAATGTCTGTAGTATCAAAATATGTCCAAACAGATTGATAGTGTCTATATGGATAATGTTTAATTATTTCCACGTATACCAGATGATCTTGGTTCTCCATATCGTCCTGCAGTACAGATGATTTGTTTTACTAGATCAACAAATACTGGGATAATATCTGTAGTATCGAAATATCGATATGGAAATCCTAGAACATTTGGCATACCCGAAAATAGGTTGGTATGATCCACATAGACACTACAAATTTGTTTGGACATATTTCGATACCACAGATATTGAATTAGTCTTGGGTGATCTAGTATAAAAATAATCTGATCTCCAGAATGATTTCAGAACCTATAACATCTTGTATACGTAGTAATAGGTCGTTCACGATCCACATAGACACTTTGAATCTGTTTGGACATATTTTGATACTACAGACATTATTGCAGTCTTGATTGATATAGTGGAACAAATCAACTGAGCTCCAGGACGATTCTGAGAACCTATGATATCCAGTATACATGGCAATTACTCGCATATATACGATTCGTTTATGATTTGACAACGAAAAATACTATGTTCATATTGGAAAAATGGAAAATACCGCACATTGGACAGACCTCAGGGAATTTCCGTGTAAATCCGGTGTGACTTATGGATTTGAGATCATTTCTCGATTATTTGCAGGGTACAGTGTTTGGTTTGAACCGGTAAAAAATTGAGAGGCAAATGAACAACAAAATTGATGACAGCAAAATAATCCGGGACGGAAAGGTTACAATGAATTCCACAATTTTTGTGACAGCACATCAGTCAGTTCGCGATTTTCGCGAAATCATTTAATGTTTGCCTGATTTTCGAGACTGAAAGTTCAAATCCGCGACAAATCCGCGACAAATCCACGACAAATCCGTGAAAATCGCGAAATCCGAGAAATTCTCGAACTTTGTGCCTACACAGATAAAAATTCTGAATTTTAATTGTGATGTAAACATTCATTCACGTAAACTTAAATTTAATTTCACACAACCGAGCAACTTGTAAACAATATTGTTTACAAAGATGGGGTTTGTATACAATATTTGCTACATTGCATGAATTGTGCTAGAACTTTACATGATATATAATGTAAACTTATATGAAATATGACGCTCCATTTGTGTGCATCATATTGAACAGAAATTTACACTACTTTTCGAACTGTGTACTGTAACATCCCTGCAATTCTAATATAAAAGTGGAAGTGGAAGTGGAAGCATCTTAATTATTCTGGTACTGGTACTTATTTTTCAAAATATTTTGCTTTTAATAATCTAAAACTGGATAAAAGTGGATGAATCATGTAGAATCCAGTTGACATCACTGCCGTGTACATCATAATAAATGATAAAAAGAAAATCGTGATAGTTTTTTCCTAAAAATAACCATAAACAATTCGCGCCATTGCAATGAATTCCGCAATGTTCATGATAGCACATCAGTCCCTTAACGATTTTCACGATATCATTTAAAGTTTCCGCGATTTTTGCGACTGATAAATCAAATCTGCGACAAATCCGCGAAAATTGTTGTTCAGAATTCAGAAGAGAAAAGCAAAGAAATTTCA